ACCTTTTGTTTTAGTTTGTTTTTAATAGTATTTCATGCTGTGGTCTCCCAAAGTTTAGCAAGCATGACAATCATCTACTTTTAAACAATTTAGGGCAAATTACTAGTGCATGTCTATAATCCCCAGCTAACCTGGAGACAGGGGTAGGAGGATCAAGATCCAAAGTCTGGGCACTAAATATATAACAATTTATATATTTTTAAATATGTATGTATATATATTATTTTTTTCCTTACATACCAGTTAAATCAGAATAATGAGGTTTTTTTTGTTTGTTTTTTTTTTTAAAAAGCTCCCCAGTTGATTCTAACATACAGACCAGAGAAACACACACCTTTATAGCATTGCTTCCTGGGGCAAATTATGCAAACTCATTGATTTGGGTAATTTGACAATGAACTCTTAATTTTTGCCTGCTATGAATTTATTTTAATACACATTAGAAAAAAATATAACTAGCACATTTACAGTGTTATTTTTTGGTTAAGATGAGAATACACAATTTTCTTTAAAATAAATGTGTAAAAGTTAAAAAGTGAGTCAATTAAAACACATATGAAATAAAAATATAGGATTCTAAGATATGACAAATGAACCATATATCTTGAGTAGCAGCAATGTAAAATATCACCATAATAGGTACCAGTGACATGAGTCCAGTAATAGGAGTATGGGGTTCTGACTTTTGTAATTAGGCAATGGTACTATTTTACAAAACTTGTATTCCTCCCACTGTCTTCACATCCAGACATTTTCCATTAACTTCCAAGATCAGTGTCAGGTTTAATGCAAGCAAAATAATTTTTGTGTTGAGAGCATGTATGTAGTCCATTGTCTGTAGGAGAGAGGAGAGGGTCTCGTGTTGGAGTGGAAAGAGACACTCACCGCTTTGTGCATTGGCTGGGGGTGCTGAGGTGGGCATCTCTCAGCCGGTAAATTCCAAAACAAAGCATATTATATGTTTTCAGAGCTTTGCAGAACAGATCACCATAACAACCACCATCCTGGGAGATAACAAAAGAGCAGAAAGAAACATTTTTATTTGCCTGGAAGTCAAGGTCCATGGGGAAAGGAGCCTTTTCATAAAAGTCTGTTTTGTTGTCTCCTGAATTACAGGGTCTGTGCCATGGGGCTGCAGCTAAAGGAGTCAACATGGTTAACAGCCTATACCGAGTACAGGCGATTTTTAGGGATCTGATGACAATGGGGGTCTCCTTGTGTCCCTCCAGTTTTTTACCTGTAGCAATAAGAGCTCGAGGGAGAGTATGCCTTTTCCTCACGTGAAGTGAAAATGTAACACTTGGTGGTCTCAGCTGTGTGTTCAGCTGAGAAGCATCTGGCTCACAACAGCGATTATGTTTCACCCTAGCTCAGGTGTGGCCACTATGGTCAGTCGTGCTGTCAAAACTGCCCAAGTGATAATGAAAATCATGGCAAGGAGAAAAGACCCCACCAGGTCTAATGGTGACAGACTCTTTTAGGCAAGGACTGTGTGAAAAGCACAATTTGCAAAGCTCAGAGACAGGAAGGGGGAAGAGAATATGTTTTCCCAGGAGGTCTGGGTCTGCAGGCAGAACTGCGTTCACAGTTCTAATCAGTTCACAACTACTTTCCCAGACATTGGAGCCTGACTAGAAGGTAAAAGCAAATGAATTCACTTGGAGATACACTCACTTAGCTTTAGGTAGCAAGGTGGCTCCAGGTGGGTGTTATCATAAGAGAGACACTGCAGAATGACTTCACTGGGAATAAAGGGACTGTATGTGTCCTTTCTATCACTGGAATTTCCAAACGGGTGTCATACTAGAAAACCCAGATGGGGCCAGATCACTTAAAGTATTTATCCTATTTGAGTGCATCAGTAAGTAAATGATAGCTAAAGAGCGATTGGTTATGGAAGTTGCCTTTGGAAAAGCCCAGTCTAATGCAGGTCTCAGCCCACAAACAAACTGGAATATGGAGTAGGTAGGCATCAGCATGTTAGAAAACACAGAGAAAGACTTTCCTACTATTAGACTTTCTGGATAACACTATTGTTTGTGTAACAGGTTTATAGGTTCCTAAGACCCATGGCTCCACTTATTGACCACATCCAGGATGGGTTTGGAATAAACATCAAGACTGAATGCAAATGACTGTCAAAGTGCCTGATCTAGGCTAGTATACAGAGCTCAAAAGGAGGTGTTGGTCACCTCTGTCACAAAGAGTGCAGGAGGAATGTGACAGGGTTTAGCCTCAGATAATAAGACCTAGGTTTTGAATTGAGGCATTCAATGATCCACTTGAGCCCATCTGTTTGACCAGTGGCTCTGGATGCACACACCTGCCTTAGTACTTTGAAAGTCACTCGTGCCTATGTTGTACTCAGATGCAAAAACTCAGATCCTCAGGTACCAAAGCTGAGCATCCCATGTGCTATTAATTACAATCAGAGATGAGCATCTCTGAGCTACACTCCTTCCCTCTGGAGATGTTTCCCAGCCTTAGCTGCCTGTTGGCATCACTTGCTCCTTTCATCTCAGGAAAAAGATCCCTGAGAAAGGCAAGAAATAAGAAGGCCCACAGCTCTAAAGCAAGGGGGCCTTGGCACAAATTCCTGGAAGCTCCAGCTTGCTCCTTTCATCTCAGGAAAAAGATCCCTGAGAAGGGCAAGAAATAAGAAGGCCCACAGCTCTAAAGCAAGGGGGCCTTGGTGCAAATTCCTGGAAGCTCCAGTCCTTACCCTTTCTGTGCCTAAGTTCCTTCAGAGCATGTGGTATAGAACCTACATCAAAGGATTTCCATGAGGAGCCAAATGAATCACTGTTCATAAAGTACAGTGTCCAGTACACAGTAAATCATAACACCCACCTCTTTATGTCTAGCTTGTCATCATCTGACCCCAGGTTCATTTGGATCAAGTTTTGCCTGTACCCCGGGCTCAGGCAGCCTAAGGGCTGTGGACTCACCCCTAAATCTGCAAAGGGCCCATCCAGCAGAGCTAACTGGGCCACGCGACAGCGGTCCCTATTGGCTAGTGTCTGGGGAGTGCTATAGCCCCCTCGAAGTGCATTCTCCTCAGCAATCAGAGCCTCGAGCTCCGGTGTGGCTCCTCCAGTCACCAGGGTCCGAATCAGGGTGAGGATGTTGTCATTAAAATATGTCTGGAGAGAGAGGGGGAGAAACATCTTTAAGCAAACATCCTAAAGTCATGACAGCCAACATCCAAATTACAAGTCTTCTTAGTATCTCCAGTACAAAGTTCTGCCCTGTCTCTTCAAATAATTTTATGTGGGAAGTGAAAAGACAGAAACCTCCAATTATTCCATTCTTTTCTCTCCTGCTTGGCTCTACCACAAGAGCCTGACTTTAAAAAACCAATTCAGAGGATTTTTATTAAAGGGCTAAAGTCTGAACAATTGGTGTTTGTCATAATTGGTATTGGTAGGGATGCAAATCTTGCCTTGTTTCTACAAGTCTCCATGTCAACCCTGGGACTTTGGACACAAGTAATACAATGCAGACTCCCTAGTCTGCTACCTCAACCACGACTGCCTTTGAGGACCTGTCACCTATGTGCCAGGAGGTTGCCTTCCTACAAATTGGTGAAACCTCTTTCTGTGTAGGAATGAGATGCCAAGAGAATCACTAATGACACACACTCAACAATTTATCATATGCTTTGATCAGTCTAACCGAGCCTCTCCATCAATAAATAAGCCAGATAAATTTATGATGAGGTTAGTGTCCTGGGGTGTATACTTTGGTTTGTGATTTTAAAATAACCTCAGTAGTCTGAAGCAAATAGAGCTTATTAAAGAACTTTCCCTCTAAGTGTACATTTGTCTCACATTTGAAACATAACAGGTCTGTTGGGAAGAAAACAATGAGAGTATTAAAAAATTAATAGGATGTCATATGAAAGATCTTAAAAAGACACTTGTCACACAGCCTAATTTGAGAAAATCTCAGTTAAAGGTGTCTGTTCCATTTTCCTGGATAAGGAGAAATCAAACAAGCTTTTAAAAAAATTCAAACCAAATCTTGCCTGTGGCTTCTGAGGATCTATGCACCTCTGGGAGAAGGTTATAAAAGATAAGTGCATTTTTACTTCATCAGCTTGTTTGAGAGTCTACCTGGTAAAGTGTAGTAGGGCACAAGCCAGGTAAGAATGAGGTGTCTTCCCTGCCTTGCCATTACTAGCTGTGTTTCAGGGAAGGTTCCCAATTGTCCTGGGCTTCAGTGTTCTCAGCCAATACAATCAACATGGTCATTAAGGCCAAATTTATAAACAGAGTTTTCTGAGTTAAGATGATATTGCTAGTGGGGTTGCATTTTACTTTCCTCATTGAAACACCAAAATTCCAGCTACAAAGGAAACAAGGAGAGGCCCTGACGGAATTTATGCTCACAGTTCATTTGTGCCTTGGGATGAACAAGTAGAATAGAATATCTAGAAAGAAGACACGCAGCTGCAGTGGTTAAGGGATTTGGGGTTGGACTGTGGGTTTCATGTTGACTTCTCCTCTCAGAAGCTGTGGTGCCTTGGAAAGACATTTAATACTTGTGTGCTTTAATGTCATGATCTGTAATGTAGTATGCTAGATAAACTATGGAGAGTATATGATTTAATGCCTGGGACACAGGAAACACTGGAAAATATTTCTGTCCTAAAATCATAGACATGGAGCACTTGCTGAGAAGGACAGTCACCCTCATTCCCAACCTTCCCTTGATTGTCCAGTCTCTTCTCTTTTGGTTTTCATTCCAAGGGGCTTGGGAGACAAACCAAGGCCATTTTGTTTTACCCTTGAGCCTGTACTTCTCAGTCTGCTTCTCCTTTCAGAGTCCCTCTATACTCAGGAACAGCTCAGTGACACTCTGGAGGCTGGGAATCTTGTCCTGGATGAGGTACCAATAGAAGGTGTCACCAGAGTGACATTTGAGTCTACCTATATAGATATGTTCTGAAATAGTCTATATCTACTTATATAGATTAGTTCCAGGGGAAAACAACCTTCCCTGCAATCAGATAAGCCATCATTACAAATAGGATACCATTCTTCCCCCTATACCACATTATATAATTGAGAGTTGGACACAGAATTTTGATGAAGGCCTTTACTACAATTACCATCCTTAGATCAAGACTGAGGGGAGAATTCTAACAGCATATAATGAATGGCAGAACACTCACAACCTGTATATTAAAAAAACTGACCACCCCTTGCTCAACATAAAGAGAGATAAAAATGAACCCAAATATGTATTTTTTAAAAGAAAGCCATAGGCCGGGCACCAGTGGCTATAATTCTAGCTACTCAGGGGGCAGAGGTCAGGAAGAGTGCATTTCAAAGCCAGCCCTGGAATATTATTCATGAGACCCTATCTTGAAAAAAACCCATCACAACAAAAAGGAGGCTGGTGAAGTGGCTCAAGGTGTAGGCTGAATTCAAACCCCAGTACCACAAAAAAAAAGTCAGAGTGTTCAAGATACAAAGGTAATAGATCCTTTTAACTAACTAAACAGCTACTGGAAGAAAAAAAAGGCAAACTTAGGAAGCATTTACATTGAAATCAAAATGGAAACTTGAAAAAATATAGAGGACATACAACAAAAATTAAAAGATAAAATGATAAGAGAGCTGACTTTATACATTTTATCCAGTTCTTTTTAATATAAGAAGCTGAAATTAAAATGGATGTAAGAAGTAATTATAAAATAATCCAGTACCTTTTCATGATAAACACACTCAACATACTGGAAACAGAAGGGAATTTCTTCAACCTCATAAAGGGCATGAGTGAAAAACCCACAGTTAACACATCACATTTAACGATGAAAGACTTGATACTTCCCTGAAAGGATCAGAAACAAGACAAGGATCTGTTCTTAAGGGTTCAATTCAATATTATGGAAGAGGTGCTAACCAGGACTTGAAAGAACTAAAATATATTCATATTGAAAAATAAGAAGTAAAACTATCTCCATTCATAGATGACATGATATTGTATGCAAAAATTCCTAAGAAATCCACTAAAAGTTATAGGTAATAAAAGAGTTTAGCAAGATTTCTGGATACAAAACCAATATCCAAAGATCAATTTCATTTCAATACATTCACAATGAATAATGTGGGAATGACATTAAGAAAACAATTCAACTTAAAACAGCATCAAAAAGAACAAGGTATTTAGGAATAAATTTACCCAAGGAGATACAACACTGGTACTGAAAACTATAAAATATTGCTGAAAGAAATTAGAGGAGATCTAAATGGATGAAAAGATAGCCCATATTTATGGATTGGAAGGCAATACTATTAAGATGGTAATAATCTCACAATGTACAGATTCAATGTAATCTCTGTCAAAATCCCAGAAATACTTTTTTTTGGCAGAAATGGAAGAGCTGATTCTATACTTCTTATGGAATTGCAAGGGATTTTAAAAAAATCCCAGCAACTTATAATAAACAAACAAAAAATAAAATTAGGGGACTCACACTTCCTGATTTCAAAATATACTACAAAACAATAGTAATCAAGATAGCATAGCACCAATATGAGCACAGATCTACATATGAATGTAATCAAATTGAAAGTCCATAAACAAACTCATACAGTTATAGTCAACTGATCTTTAATGAGAATGCCAAGACCCTTTAACAAAGAAAGAGTATACTCTCTTAAACAAGGAGTGTTACAATAACTGAGTATTGACATGCAGATGAAGTTGAGTCTATAACTCACACCATATGCAAAACTAATATTAAGATGGATCAAATACCTAAATGTAACAGCTGAAACTATCAGATGCTTTGAAGAAATCATAATGGTAAATCTTCATAATCTCTGATTTGATAAGTTTCTTAGATAATGATAGCAACATCATAATCTACAAAAGAACAATAGATAAAGCTACTGTCTAGAAAGGGACAATTCTCTACAGAACAGAAGAAAAACTTGCAAGTAATATATCTAATGAGTATATCGTACTTAAAATCTTCTCATAACTCAACAACAAAAAGACAACTTAATTTTAAAAATGGGAAAGACCTCAATAAGTATTTCTCAAAAAAAGATACATGGAAGGTTCAACAAATATAAGAGGTTCAACATTGCTAGTTATGAGGGAAATGTAAATCAAGACCAAAAGAGAGGAAGGCTGTAATAAAAAGACAAATAATAGCAAGATTTGATGAGAATGCAAAGAAACTGGAACCCTCATACATTGCCGGTAAGAATATAAAATGGTGCAACAGTTGGAAAACAGCTTGGCAGTTTCTTCTATTGTGAAACATTGAGTTATGATGTTACCCAGCAATTCCATTCCTATGCATATACCCAAGAGAAATAAAAATAAATGTTCACACAAAAGCTTCTGTAAGGATGTTTTAGAAGCATTATTCATGATAAACAAAAGGTGAAAATAAACAAAATGTCTGTCTGCCAAGGAATACATAAAATGTGTTTTATCCCTGCAATGTACATTATTGGGCCTTAAAAAGAAATGAAGTAATACATGTTACAACTCAGATGAACCTTGAAAACATATTAAGTGAGATTCCATTTATGTGAAATGTCCAGAAGAAACAAATCAATAGAGATAGGTAGTAGTTCACTGGCTGTTTAGGATTAAGTAGGTGGAGTAAAGTGGAAGGGCAGGGAAGAGTAGGTTTCTTTTTGAATTTATTTATGAACATGTTTTAAAATTTATATGGCTATATATATTTGTGAATACACTAAAAATCATTGAGTCATATAAAATCTTTGGGTCAATTGCATGGTCTGATAATATCTCAGTAAGGATGTTTTTTAAAAAGAAATGGTTAAAAGGTAACTAAATTTGCAATGGCTAAATTTTTATCTATGAAGTAGCAAAAAATTGTAGATCTGAAAAGTACACACACACACACACACACACACACACACTCAATCAGTGATGTGAAAATAAACTAAAAAGTTCCAAATTATATAAAGAAAAGCACAGGATTTTCATTTCTTTTTTTATCTTTAAAGAAAATCTTGTAGGTATTGAAGAACAACAATAGAGGTTGACCTAGTAAATAGTAAGTGTTCACAATTTAAAGGTTGTAAGCAAAATTTAAGAAAGTAAAACAAGCAAACAAAAACAATCTTTCCTGCAGTAGAAAATAAGCCTA